ATTAGAACTAAAGATTTTATTATGGTGCTATTACAATAAACTCAAAATTAACGTGTGTGAAGTAATCTACGGGTGGACAGCTATCAACGAAGTAGAAGTTGATAATGACAGGGAGAGTGTTTTAGATGTTAAATTTTGAACTGGGTGCAGTGTGACAGCGACGTAAGTGTTATACACCTGATGATGGCCGTCTGAGGCCGAAACATGTAGTGTAGGGAGCAAGATCAAAGACACAAGAATATATTGTTTGCACTTGAGACGGAGGTTATATCATTTATCGTATGGAGTGCAACAGGATGCTTAAATATAATATGCTTTTGGTAGTAATGCTATACCTCTATAGTCACTACATATTAATTTATCCCCTTTTTTAAATATGGGACATATAATGCTCTTTCCTCAATCTTCTGGTATCTTTTCTTCTTCCCACACTTTATTTATAATTCTGAAGGAGTGCTATTATTCCTTCTTGTCTTCCTGCCTTCAATAATTCTGCTGGTCTGTTATCACTTCCTGGTGCTTTATTTAGTTTTTGTTCCTTTAATGCTTCTATCACTTCTTCCTTTGTTGAAGGCTCTATTATCTCTCCCTCTTCCCCTTCTCCATCGTCTGCAGTTTCTTCTTCATTGTCCTCCTTATCTTGCATATTCTGATTTTGATTTAATAGTTGTTCAAAATATTCTTTCCATGCATTCATAATCTCTGTTTTATTGTTTATTAGAAGTCCTTTTTTTGTCTCGGATAAATTCTGTTTTTGGTTTGAAACCTTTCATATATTTGATTCGACCAAAAGCATTTTTTGTTTTGTTATTTTTGAAGTCTTCTTCCATTTGCAGTAACTGCTCATTTAGAAAGGCCGTTTCTTTTTCCTGCAAATCTTGTCAGCTTTCCTTCTTCTTTATATGCCTCATTTCTTGCTCTTGTTGGTCTTTCCATATATTTCTTATTCTTGAGGTTTATACTCTCCCTACATTCCTCATCGAACCATTCTCTATTATCCTATTTCTCTTGATATCCCAGAGTCCTCTCGGCTTCTGTAATTATTGCGGTTTTAAAATCTACCCATATCCCTTCTACCTTTACTTCTTTATTTGCTTATTTGCTCTATTGTCATTAATTTCTTTAATTTTATTTTGAAATGCTTCTCTCTTATCACTCTCCGTAATCTTGTCAATATTAAATTTCTTACATTTCTCATACTGCTTAGATCTTTGACAACTTATTTTACATCTATATTTAACCTGTACTAAGTAATGATCACTATCACAGTTGGCCCCTCTTAATGTTCTTACGTCCAGGATATTCGTCGCAAATCGCTTCTCTATGAGGACATGATCTATTTGATTGAAGGTTACCCCATCCAGTGCTGCCCATGTTCTTTTATGTATATTTTTGTGCGGGAAGTATGTAGAGCTGATGATCAAGTTCTTACTTTCTGAAAAATCTATTAATCTTATTCCATTATTGTAGGTTATATCTTGTAAACTCTCTGTCCCAATTACTCCTCTGTATTCTTTCTCTTTACCTATTTTGGCATTAAGATCCCCTAAAATAACCTTTATGTCATTACTTGGTATTGAATCATATGTCTCTTCCATTAGTCTTTGCCCTCCTCTTCTTTTTCTTCTGTAGGTGCGTGCATGTTCATCAATGTCATATTGAAAAATTTCTTTCTAATTCTCAAAGTGCAGACTCTTTCACTTATTGGTTTAAAGTCTATTATTGCACTTTTAAATTCTTGTTCTATTACAAAGGCTACACCAAATTCCTTATTGCCTTCTGCTTTACCACTGTAACATATAGTATGTTTCTTTAAGTCCATGATTCCTTTACCCAGCCATCTAATTTCCTGTATGGCTGTGATTTTCATATTGTACTTATCTATCTGTTCTAGTACCGATTTCATGGCACCCGGTTTATTGAGGGTTTTCACATTCCATGTACCTAGAGAGTAGCCCATATTCTTTGCCAATTGTTGTCTTCCATTCTGTTGAGGTTTCCAAGGCTTGATTCCAGGTTTCGAGACATTTATATTTTTTTACAGTGAGAGGTCATCAGCCTCTCACCCAAACCCCAACCTGGAGGACCAGGGTATCTCTTTTAGTCTGGGTCATCCCCTTCGACCTGTCCGGCATGGGTGGCCCTCCCAGTAGCTATGCTACCGCTGACATAGCTCTCAGGGTTATTTGACCACACAAGCCCCTCCACTACGTCAAAGTAGAGACACCATAAGGGGGGGGGGTTAGAAAGAGCTAGTCTAAAAAAAAGACTTGAAAGGATTCTGATGATGGTGTATGCTGTGCACAACTATTAGACTTATTTTTGACTCTATTCATCATCTGGTATATACAGGACAAAAAACCACAACGTTTCGGAGACTGGATCTGTCTCCTTCCTCTGGTGGATGGGGCAGGATAAACCTGCTTAGTTGAGTCCAGTGATTGAGACTAGCTCTTTCTAACAGGCCCAACTGAGTAGGTTTATCCTGCCCCATCCACCTGAGGATGGAGACAGAGAAACATTGTGGTTTTTTGTCTTCTATATACCAGATGATGGATAGAGTCCAAAATAAGCCTAATAGCTCTGTACATCATCCCTTCAGTTTCATTTTCAATTTGAGAAAGAAAATGAAATCACAGGGGGCTAAATCCGGTGAGTAGGGAGGATGGGGAACGATAACCATGTTGTTGTTAGTCACAAACTCTGTGGTTTTCAGGGATGCGTGGTCAGGCACATTGTCATGATTGCACAAAAGTTCTGGTTATTTTCATTGCACACTTTCTCTCAAGCTTCTAAAATGTCACAGTAAAAGCCAGAGTTGACCATAGTGTTAGGAGGAACAAATTCATGGCGAACAATCCCCTTCACATCGAAAAAACAGTGAGTGTGCTTTTTGTTGAAGTCTGGACCTGCTGCATCTTTTTTGCTCTTGGTGATTGTGGGCTCATCCACTGGGACAGTTGTTGCTTTGTTTCTGGATCATACTCATAACCATAAATCCATCTTCTGTCACCCATTATGATTAGACAGATAAAAGTTGTGTCCTCGTTAGCCTTTTCTTGTAGCTCAAGACACGTTTATGGACTGCTGCATTTGATCATTTGTCAAGAGTCAGGGAACAAACTTCGTGGGAATGCAGTGCATGTTCAAATTTTCTGCTAAGATCCCTTGGCAAATTCCATAACATCCAAGCGGTGTCTTTAAGGTCATGGATTATTGGTGACGGTTGTCATGGATGAGTTCTCGAATTTTTTCCACATTTTCTGTTGTATTGTTGGCGCTTGGTCACCATGAACGTTCATCATCTTCAGCTGACACTCAACCGACCTTGAAACGTTAATGGCATTCAAAAACCGCTGTCTGGCTTAAAGAGTGTCTCCAAAAGCCTCACAAGGCATGTCAAGGGTTTCAGTGGTGGATTTACAGAACTTCACACAAAACTTAATGCAGACACATTGCTTGATTTTGCCATCTATCGCAGACAAAACAAAACACAAAGTCGAGAAAACATTTGTGTAAAAACAATGTGTGTTCACATCATGGTGTCATGTGGCAGACTGATGCAATATGTTTGAGGAAGTGTGACCTTGGCCTCCCCTCTCATCTTCTTTCACGGGGGCAGTTACAACAAAAACAGTCCAGGAACTTTCTGATGCTCCCCACATCTCTTGATATGGTAATTGTAACGTTCAAAATGAAGCCACTGACCTAGTAATAGTGGTAGTTGTAGCAGCAGCAGGACTGTATATACATTCAGTGTTGCCAATGCCCCACCACAAGGATTACAGCCCCCACTTCACGAATATGTACATGCACAGTGTTATTGCAATTCATAGTTTTCAGAAATTTATGTACCTTTACCAAGCATTTTATTTTAAAGCAGTAAGGATGTATCAATACTGCAAAATGAAGGTGAGCACATTAAAAATGTATTATCTCTGAGCAAAATAGATGTTATGTTTTTTACTCTTTTTCTTTTCTTCCCTCCAGCTATGATTTCTACATTAAAAAAAGTAAAGCTATCCCTGTACTAGGCTGTGAAGGCCCATAGGGCTGTGAGACGTTGAGGGTCCTACATTATCTAGACAGTCGGCTCAAAGTTAGCAGTAAGGTTGTCAGCCTTACGTGCCGGCCGCGGAAATTAATTCCTGGTACTCATTTCTGTTAGAGGCTGAGTAAACCCCAGGGCCTAGTGTGGCTGGAAGCATGAAGAATGCAAATATTTTGGAGAAAGTAGAACCTTCATAACTGCCTGGTAGCCTTTGAGTGTAAGTTCAGTTGTATTCAGGACCCAGCTAATTCACATTATTACAATAGGAGAGGTTATGTTACTGTAGTCACAATAGCAGTTGTGACTGCATACCATGAATTTATTATGGTTGATATAGGAACCAGTGGCCATGTGTCTGATGGTAGAGTACTCTTCTGAACCATTTTCTGGAGGACGTTTCAGCGGTAGTTGTTGAATGTCCCAACACCACATAATACCAATGAAAAGTATCTATGTGTTATTTTTGCAGGTGATCATGCGTTTGTCATTGACATCAATTTTATGAAGCCATACATTCCACAGGATTTGAATGACAGTCACATTATCTGTAAGTACTTATTATATTGCACATATCAAGTTTTGAAGCATACCTTTGGTATTTCCATAATAAGAATTGACATATTTCAAATATAAATTAACCTTCATGTTGGCAAAGTGAACATGAATAAATTTATTTGCTGCTTCTTGCACAATTTCTTTATAAGAAAAATGTTGGATTTATATTTTGGTGAAGCAGTTTTGAAGATATGGAGCTGGAAAAATTTGAAAAGGATATGGCACACATACAGTAAATGTGTAAATTAAAAAGGTAATGACCTAAATCTGTGAAGTTCTTAAGAATGTAAGAAACAAATGTTATGAATGTTTCAGTAGTGATGGTCAAGTTCCTTTACACAGCTACTTTATAAAGGAAGTGTTTAATGTATGGTATTTTGTTTATATTGTAACGTGTTTAGTTACTGAATACGCCGTAGAGATTGTTAATTGGTTTATTCAACAACCTACAAGTCTCGGCTACAATTATTTATAACACAGTTGCGGGGTTTCACACTTTATAACCCTATTCGCAATAATCTATTCACACTGTTGCGGGGTTTCACAATTTATAACCCTATTCGCAAATCAATTCACTCTGTCTTCAGTAGTCTACACGTTTTCACAGTACGGGAGCTAGGTATCACTGTATCACACACTCCCAATTATTACTCGGTTATCACGAACTATCACTGATTCTCACACGCGTCCATAACTCGTAACTATCTCGTAAACTCGAGAACTTGAGAACTGTCTTCGGCGGCTGTGCAGTTCCCTTATAAACCCTCAGCAGGGCAATGAGAAAACAGCCACGTAATAGGTGCCACTGTTGCTATCATCGTCTCTCGCAACCACTGTTTGTCCATGTTGCATAACGACCAGTGTGCTGGGACTCAGCTCACTTCGGCTCCACTCGGCATGTCAGCTGGAGGGGAGGGAGGATGTTGACCTGCCTATTACCGTAGCGCAACACGTCACAATATTTTACATACCTTTTTCCTTCAGCGTCTGTGAAAGGTATATTCTTGGTCAGAACTTCGTATTTTAATAGAAAAAATCTCATCAATGTCCATGGTGTAGGCTCATATGAACAGTTGCAATAGTGTTGGATACACCAAATTTTGTTACCTATTTTTGAAATTTGTTTTCAAGGCATTAATTATTTCTTCACATTATCACAGGTGACATCTCTTTTACTAGTTTCAAAACTGTCAAGGGTTTGTTAAATGCTCAGTTCCTCTTAACTTTACTTGTATAATACCCACTGGAAACATTTACTAACATAGGTAACTCCTTACACCTATCAAAAAACTTCTCATCCTCCAACTCTTCGATACTAACAGGAAAGATTCACAAAAATCAGAAATATTGGCAGTGCTGACAAATTGACTGCATTCTTAATTGACTGAACATATTCTGGTAGTGAACTCTTTATAGGCTTTGCCGTTCTCATTTTATTTTACTGATTAAATTGATTGATTTGAGCTGTTCATATCTCCTATTATGATTACTGTACACATTGCATGCTTTTCCTTCATTTTCCTCTGAACTTTGAAAAGAAACTATGTTTCCTCTCTATAACATATAGAAATTCATGGAAATCCTTGTGTTAGAGGTATGTTTCCCCGTAAGATGTGTAATTACTTTCCTCTCTAGTGATGTATATTATTATTATTATTCAGTTACCTAACCAACAGACAATCACGGGTTCGTATCGGTGAAACTATTTCATCGACTTTGAAGTACTGTCCGGTGTTCCACAGGGATCTGTTCTTGGCCCTCTGCTTTCAGTGTCTACATAAACGACTTGTGTGATTCAATTAAGCACTCCAGGTACCTACTCTTTGCAGACAACATTAAAATTTACCGTGCTATTAGCTGTCCTGAAGATTGTAATCTTCTGCAATCTGACGTTGACTGTATACGTAGCTGGTGTGCAGCGAACTATATGAAACTCAACGCTGACAAAACCAAAGTTATAACGTTCTCTAGGAAAACTAACTATTTGATATACGAATACAAACTTCTTCATTTCACTATAACTCGAACATATTCAGTCAAAGACTTGGGCGTATATCTTGATTCTAAACTTCATTTTCATGATCATGTTAATTTTATATTTTCGCAGTGTATTAAG